GAATGAGGTGGTATAAGAGAAAGGCTCTCAGTGCCTGAGTGTGTGCGTGTGCGTGTGCGTGTGCGATATGAGGGGTTGGTACATTACACAGAACAGAGAGCACTCAGAGAGCTCTCTGGAAACCTAGGAAACCTAGGGCTGGCCTTTCCCAGTCTTCACCTTCAAACAGTGCAGAAGCACAAATGCCTGAGTGTGGGGGCAGAGCGGGTGTGGCGGACAGCCAGTCAGGGGGCCCTGTGCGAGGCCTTAAAGGGGGGCGGGGAGCACAGGCAGGGTACAAAGAGAGAACCACAGCGAATGTTGTCAGGAGCAAGTTATAATTTTTGGAACACTCATTTTCTTGTTACTTCCCCTTTTCCTTTCGTTGGCTGGATTAATCAATCTGTTATTAAGTACATTTGGGGGGTTATTGTGAAACTCTGCTGTTTATCTCTACTTCCTACTGTCCCCTTTGGAGCTCTCTTTTTGTCTCTGTCCCTGAGATAAGTATTCGCTTCTAGATTTAACCTCAGTGAGAGCCAGTGGGAGAGTCGGCTGTCCCCAGCTGTTTCTCTGTCTACCGAGTTCGTAGGATGGCCTTCCCAGGCCACTGCTGCTTAGAGACTAAATCTATGATTTGTCACTGCTTCCTCTAAACTACTGCAAGCTCTAAAGAATCACAAGCCAAACGACCTATATGACCTAGAAAAGGATTCTTCGAAGGAGTTAATATTCCATTTATTTGGAAAAACCAATCCCATCTTCTCCCCAGAATATAGACTTTTACTTCTTACTCAAGAAGCACAAACTTGAGTAGACTCATTTATCACACATGAGAACCAGTCTGGCAGTTAGCTCCAGAAAGGAGAAATTTGCTTCATAAGTTTAAATACAAGACACATTCACAGAAAAATGCAAGATCTACCTGTTGTAAAATGAATGATGTTAAAAGATCCTAGGATTGTCTTGAATTATTTACCATACATAGAGCTGTCCATGCTGACATCTTTAATGCAATAATTCATATAAAGTTTAGGACTGTGGCTAGTAGACGTTAGAGTAAATCTGGATCACAAATGTTCCTCCCTCAATATTTTATAACATGGATAAAAATTGTAGAGATGCAGCCAAACATTAGCTAGTAACCATGAGTCACAGATAAACAAAAAGGGGTGCAGACTCTTGCCGTAAATACCTAAAAAGAGTGGCAGTGAAAAGAAAAGAAAATTCTGGCCTCACTATATAACTCTTGTCTCTACCCTGGCCCCAGAAGTGGTACTCAAAGAAAAAGAGTGAATCCAGAAAAATCTGCTCAATTTTTATGAAACATGAATGTAATGAGAAGCAGCTGAGAAGGTGAGGGGGTCTCTCTGGGGAACATCAAGGAAAACACTGAAGAATGGCAGCCTCCTGGGTCCCCCGAAGGAGCTGGTAACTTAGCAGATACTGATTCAGAAAGTCTGTCTGGGTAACGCCTGACATGCTTCATTTCTAACAGGAGCTGCTGGTCCACAGACCTCACTTTGAGTCGCAGGGTATGGAATAGCTCCTTTCTACGAAAATATGGATGAATCCCAGATGTACTGAATCAGAATCTTCATCGTATAAAGATCCCCAGGGGATTCACAGGAACCTTGGAGAAGTCCTGGTAGATGCTACCTTTCCTGGGTCTATCCTGTTAACCTGGGGTCTCAGCCAGGGGTCCTGGCAGGAAACACAAGGCACATTCAAATGGGTAATTAGAGAAGAGGTTACAAAGCTGTAGACAGAGGGTAGGAAAGCCACAGGGGACAGGGGACAGGGGACAGCTTGGGGCTATTGAGGAGGGGCTGGCAGCCTTGGCGAGGGGAGGCAGTGTTACTGGAACCAGGAGACTAAAAGACCTCTGTCAAGGAGCTGTTTCCCAGGAACTTAAGTTGTGGGACACAGCCAGCCTGCATCACCTGCAAGAGAACAGCCAGGAGAGAAAAAAATTGCCTCATTCACTCTCCTCCCTCCGGCTAAGCTTCAGCCATTGCTCCCATGAACCAAATCAACTAGAATTCAAGTGGCGAGGGAACCCACTGATATCACCCAGTCAATCCCCCGTGGTCCAGAACAGGGTGAAGAAGGGTGGAGAATGGGTCCCAGAGGGACAAATAGCAGCTGTCCGCAGCATACCCTCCCAAACAGAATATCTTTATCTGAAACATTCCCCAAACTTCTCCTAAGGCCACATGGGAAAGGAGAGAAAGAAACATAGCGTAAAACCCGCTTCTGTGGTCCCTACTTCTGGAGCTGACCACAGGCCTCAGCTGATAATTACAGCAGATACTGATTCAGAAAGTCTGTCTGCGCTACACCTGACACGCTTCATTTCTAACAAGCTCCCAGGTGATGGCTCCCACCACCTCTTCCAGTTATCCCCACCTCATTTGGGTGGGAATAACCTGGTGGGGTTACTTGACCTTTCACGCCTGTGGGATCTGAGCCCTTGAAGATCTCTCATTCCACCAGCTGAGTGTCTATGATCTGAGGCAGATCAAGCCTTTTATTTCATCTTCCTTCACTGAACCTCTTTCCCCAGTATACTTTTCCATAGCTGCTCCCCAGGCTCTGCCAATATGCATTGATGAGGTGCTGAAACGTTTGCCTACAGGCGATCTCCTCTGGGAACAGGTCTTCACCTCTGGGCCATGTTGGGATCTAACTCTTATTAAGGGGATGGGTTTGAGTCTTAAGGAACATCAGCATCAGGTTGTGAGGCAGCTGGCACAAGGGCAACCATTCAGCTATCAAAATGCTTTTTTGCCTGGGAAGGCTGCTTCCCTAGGGCATGCTGTGCCTCCCTCTCTAAAGGCACTTGGGGGTCCAGAGTTCTTGGCACCCACCCAAACATCCTTATTTCATGTCTCAACCTCGTGCCCTTCCCTTAGTGTAAGAGGTCTGGTGTGGTTGTAGATTTTTACACCGAACTCAGCATCTCTAACAATCAGGCCTTAGACATGGTGCTCAGCTATGTCTGCCCTGTAGCTACAGGGGACGGGGGACTCCTCCCAAACTGTCAGAGCCTTTAGGTTTTGCATGGATCTTCTCAGTTGGATAGTTTTGCGCACAATCTCAATTTTTTTTTCAATGTTTATACTTCCTAGAGCCATCAGAGAGTTTATTCCACAATCTTTATCATACTATTGTTGCCATAGAAACTAAGTGCCACAGCCACATGATTTCCCAGTGCCTTGCCCTCACCTTCATGCCATCCTATGCTACTCCTCATGATAATGATGCCACCTTGTACGTGTGTATATGTGTGTGTGTGTGTGTGTGTAGTGCGCGCGTATGTGTGTGTGCATAAACTATCACCACGTAGCTTTAAGCTATACCCACCAGAGCCATGGTGGTTTTTTTTTGCTGGGGAAAGGGGAGAGAAATTAGATAAGAAAAAAAAATGAATCCAAATTTCCTGAAGCCATTTTATTTCTTTTATTTTTTTTTAGAAGAAAGCAAATATGAAAGCAAATATGAAAAGATATTAGCACTAGATAGCAAAGATTTTTTATATATAATTCTTTTTAACTTTTTGTATTGCTTCAATTTTACCTCCTCACTCACCATCCATCATTATTCATTATGATCATGAGGGGCTTATCCCAGGGTATAGGTTGATAGGAAACTAAGAAAGTAATTCATAAAACCATTATATCAACAAGTACACACACACATGACAAAAATCATATCAGTAAATAACCAACACTATTACATTGTACCAATCCAAAAGTCATAAAAAGCAAAAGCTGTCTTTTTTCATCTGTCTTCTCTCACATTCATTTGCCCTTCCCTAGAGCCAAACGCTATGACCAGGTTTTCAGTAAACTTCCAAAGATATTTAATGCATATATAAGCACATCTCTATATCCATTTTATAAGTCAAAGATAGCCATTTTAAAAACATTGCTTTGTTCACCATATATCTTAAAGCTGGTCCCACATCAGTACTTCATAGTATTACAGTGTGTTGATAGGCCATAAGTTAATCAATTCAGCCCATCAAGGGGGATATTTACTATTTTGTAGTCTTCTGCTATTAAAAATAAAGTGAAGTTCAATTAACTGTACAGAAGTCATTGCACATGTTTGAACATACATGTAGAATAAATTCCTAAAAGAATTGCTAACTAAAGGGATATGTGCATTTAAAATTTGGTAGCTACTGCCAGATTGTTCTCGAGAGAGTTGAACTACTTCATAACAATGTATAAAAGTGATTTCTTGCCCAGCCGGGCAGGGCTCAGCGGTTGAGCATCGACCTAGGATCCAGGAGATCGTGGTTCGATTCCCGGTCAGGGCACATGCCCGGGTTGCGGGCTCAATCCCCAGTCGGGGGCGTGCAGGAGGCAGCTGATCAATGATGACTCTTTCATCATTGATGTTTCAACTCTCTCTCTCCCTCTCCCGTCCTCTCTCTGAAATCAATAAAGATATATATATTTTTTAAAAAGAATTATTTCTATATGAGGACTTTAGAAATGTCTTCCATATTATATTTTAGAATATTTTACTGTTCCAATTATTGAGTTCTCTACTTCATATCCATTTTTAGTGGATCACTGTACTCTAGGTACATCTTCTTTATAATTACCTTAATATTTGTGTTATTTCTCTCCATTTATGTGATTATCTCAAGGCTTCCTGCAAGCCAGGAATTGGGTTTTCCATTTATTTCTTGTTGCTTCTAACTTATTTCCTTCTGTAATGCTTCACAGTCTGTTTCCCTAGCAATATCCCTCTTCATCTCTTTTGGCTGCTTTGTCTTTCAACTCTTGTTTTATGGGATTATGGACTTCTCAAGTTTTTCCGTAGCATGAGACACTTGCAGGGAGTTTATATTTATCCCTTGAGTTATATTTTCTTTCAGATTCCTCTTTCTATCTACCCACCTACCCCCCCCCCCCC